GTCACAGGAACATATGGCATTGACTCCTGCACACTGCCCCCTCAGCTGCAGTCCACTGGAAGCAGGCAGAAAGCCAGGCTCACTGGATCCCACGCTGCATCTAGCACACTGGGGGAGGCAGTCACTTTCACCAGGTCCCTACAACTGGCAAGTCCTCAAGCAGACTTTTGTTGAGGTTTCTGCTGCCAGGCAGTTTCTCAAGTGTGCCTGCCTCTCTTGTGCCAAATCAGGAGGGATAAAACAGAACAGGGCAGCAGCTTAAACAAGTGAAATACATAAATAATGTATTCTGATGCTTCAAGAGTGCAGATCCTGTAACAACACTGAAGTCAGAATGGATTGAAGGCATCTTCAAGTGTTGAAAAAGGAAATCTTAACTTGAAGAATTGTCTGTTAGAAGTATATATCAAACCAGCAAAATGTTTCACTGCCTGTCCATTCCAGAACCGACACAGCTATTTACTACATTATGTGAAAAGGCACTAACCGGTGTTGTATATCTGGCCGATAAAAATAGTCAACGGGAGTGTCCAGTCGTGAGAAAATTGGTGGTGGAATGTAGAGAGGTAATTCTCTGTTGAAAAATTCTTCCTTCTCTGGTTTGAGCATTAGAACTTTGTCATACATGGAGGTTTGTTTGCCATCGGGACCAGAGTGCATTGCCAGGTACTGGAAATCAGACATTCCTGTGAGAAACAAGTTAAAACATTGTAAAGTTCATTGTGAATGTAGCATTATTTCTTGAAACATTCAACTTTCAGGAGCAGGAGCCTGATAAGTTTATGCAAAAGTTTACAGAGCAAGAAGGCTGTAACAACAGCAGACTTGATTTTTCTTCCAGTCCTGAATTGTTCAGAGGAAAACATTTCTCTTTCCCATCAGACGTACTCATCTTTAAGCAACATGGACACAAACCCAAGCATTACCTTGAAATTTGTAAACTGTAGTGACAGTCCCAAGAATTTCCATTTCAAACTGGACTTCTGGCTGGATTTGTTCTTCAGTGTCCAACTGTTTCTTCTTCTTGGTCCTCCTCTTCACCTTGAGCAGCATGGTGGAGGTGGGGAAGCGATTGGCACACACGGGGTGGCAGTAAGGGTCCTTGGGACGGAAATACAGCTCCAGCCTTTTGGAAGGGTCAGCGTAGATCTGTCAGCAAGGGCAGGCACAGTCTCCGTTAACATCGCACCCGTGCAGCCTGCCTCCCCTGGACTCCATTTGGCACCAGGCCCATATCTTCTTGCCATTGGTTTTCCCTCCATTTCCCCTCAGGGATACGAATCCCTGCTCCATCGAACCAGCAGCACATCAGGGGGATGCACAGCCACCCCCTCTCTGCCCGACACACCCCATCTCCTCTCCAGCAGCGGCCCAGGTGAGTGACATCACCCTGAAACCACACATGGGGCCTACGTGGGGACACGCTCGGCCCCTGCGGCCCGGACAAGGGGGTCCCACAGCAGGGAACTCCGTGGACCCAGCCCCCTTCTGCTTCCAGCCCCCTCCCCAGGGCCGAGGCTGGGCTCCTCGCCCCACAACCCCTCTGCCCGGATAACCTCCTCCTCCCAAGTCCCTGGGGTCCCCCTCACCCGCGACACCCCCTGCTCTCCTCCCACCGTCCGCAGCATGGCCGGGTACTCCACGCACACCAGCAGCGGCGTGCGGGGCAAATCCAGCACAGCTGAGCCCCGTTCCTCCCACCGCCTCCCCGCCGCCATCGCTCCCTGGCCCCGGTCTGTCCCGGTCCGTCCCGACAGCCGCCGCCCCCGCCCTGCGGGCCGCGGCACAAAGGTTCCGCTGCAGAGTGGTTCCTACAGCGGCGGAGCGGAGCCCGGCTGGGCCCGGCGTGGGTGGGTGAGAAGGTGATGGCCGGCGGGCAGTCGTGTCCTCTTTCTAGGTGGGGCTCGGATCCCCTGCCTGGCCTCTCCCACACAGGAACCTGTGTGCTTAAACCTGGCCCTTGGGTTTATTTTGCCCTTCTTGTGTTTCTGTGCACATATGGCAACAATTCACCAATTGGTTTGCGTGCCTGTGTTACAACTGTAATTATCTCTTTGTAATTAGCATGGGTGTTGATGGTAACAGGGGTATCCAGAGGACAGGTCAGGGTTGGGCCTGTCCTGCCAGGGTCGTGGAGGCAACAAGGGAAAGCAAACCCTTCACTTGCTGCCTGACCTTAACATTAGGGAGAAAATCTTGTCACAGCAAAGAGAAGCCAGAATCGCTCAGGTTACAAGCAAGCCTTTAATAAACTGGGTGTATCTTTAAAAGGTGGTGTTTTCTTAGCTCCACAGCAGATCCTCGATTATGGAGATGTTGGCAACCTGCGGCAAGCTCTGATAGACTGAGTTCCAGAAGTTCACGAACTGGGGTTTCAGATTGGGCTTCAGGGAGTCCTTGTTCATCTTGTTGTTGATTTCCAGGTAGTACTTGCCCTCGTTGGTGTAGGGCAGCCAGGTAACGGGAACCTTTGAATTTCCTTCGTTGGGATTACTGGGGAAAAAAGGAGACACAGAAGTTCAGTTTTATCAGGGCAGCTTGTGGATGCAGCGAGGTTTGTGGTGTTTGGCAGGGATCTCATCTCCTTGAATGCAAAGAGAGAGTCTGATACTGGGACAAGCAATAGCAATTTTGCCTGCTAGGAGTGACTTGCTGTCCTGCAGTGCCCGCTTGCATCGTCCCTGGCTGCAGACAGGGGCTTAATTCCTGTCTGAACGGCAGGATTTGGAAACAAACCAAGCCAGGCTTTTCTCAGTGATGTTCAATGACAGGATAAGGGGCAATGGGTGCAAGCTGGAGCATAGGAGGTTCCGTGTAAAAGTAAGGAAAAACTTTTTCACTGTGAGAATGACAGAGCACTAGAACAGGCTGCCCAGAGAGGTTGTGGAGTCTCCTTCTCTGGAGACATTCAAACCCCCCCTGGACACATTCCTGTGTGACCTGGTCTGAGTGATCCTGCTCTGGCAGGGGTGTTGGACTGGATGAGCTTTCAAGGTCCCTTCCAACTCCTAATATTCTGTGATTCTATGAAACCTCATTATTAAGTTTAAGCAGAGATCAAAAGCTCTGAGGAAGACCCAGAGCAAACTCCACTACTGGGAGACACAGAGCCAGGCTCACAACAGAAGTAAAAACAGAAGACACCCTGCTTTTGTGAATTGCTCCCACGAAGTTAATAGGCAAAAGCAGCAGGCTGAAGGGCTGCAGCAAGCCCCAGACTGGAATCACTCACCCTGTCCGGGCAAAGTTGGTCCAGTAAGCGATCATGGCACTTGAGACAGTCCTGTGCTTGGGCAGGTAGCCCAGGGGGGTGCTGAAGGGTTTCCCGAACACGTACTGCAAGTCATCAGCATGGTCTGCTCCTACCCAGCTTGGGTAGATGGGCATTCGGGATGGCTGGGAGAACACGTAGCTG